CAGGCGTCCCTGCCCAAGGAGGGGCGGCGAGTGTCTCTGGGCCAAGGTTACTGGTGGGATGGGGTGCCTCTGAGAGCGTAGGCGGGCCAGACGAGCAGTGCTCGCACTTGCCTGAGCAGGCGGAGGCCGGCTGGCCCGAGAGCCCTGAGTGGGGAGGGTTGGGGAGAAGCCTTCGTGGCACGGCTGAGAACAGCTGTCCTGACCCAAGAGCTGCAGCCCCAGACGATCCTGAGGTTACCTGAGCTGTAACCTGCTGCTTACCTAATATACCCGAATCAAGTGCCCCGCAGAGAAGTGGGGGCACAGTGGTGGGGGTGTCAGAATGGGTAAAAAGACTGGGGAGGGCCATTGTGCCTGACCGCTGCCTCACAGGGAGCAGCCTGGGCTGAGATGTGCACCGCTAACGGTGACACCGTCCCTCCCCCCGTGACACCCCGTCTGTGTGTACAGGGGAATGCTCTTTATGAGCTGCACCCCTGGGAACTCAACGTGGGCTGAGGCTCCCGTCCCCGAGGCCTTGGGTGGCTCCCTGGGATGCCCCTGTCTTTCTGGGCATGGAGGAGGGTGCCACCCGAGGGCGCCCTCTGCCCTGCGGCCCTGTGGGCTCTGACTGAGGCACAGAGTCACATGTCTACCATTAAGGACCCCGTCCCGAAGATGCCCTGGGCTCCCCCTGCCCAGCCCTCCCTTGGAAAGTCTGGCACCCTTGGTCTTCTCAGTCAAGCCTTTTCCAGACGCCCTGCCGCTGGGATCACAGGGGCGGCCTTTTCCTGTCTGACTCCGTTCACAGAACTGTGTGTCTGGGCTCTGCCGGCCAGGCTCTTAACTCTTCCCTCCTCACGTCCTCAGGTACCCCAGCTTGGCTTGGCTCGTGACCCCTGGGTGAGATGGGGCGGACACTGCCTGGTCCTTGCTCCCGTCTGTTCTGGCCACTGCTTGGGTCAGTGCCTTCCGAACCTGAGGCGTGGCTTGTCCAGCACGTCAGTGTGCCGAGGTGACCCGTGGGGCTTTGGGGGAGTGGTCACAGAGGCCTTTGTAATGTCTGAGCGTTCTCCTCCCTGGACAGCGCCCCCTTGTGTGGACGGGCCTCCGTGTGTTACCTTCTGAAAGGTGGCCTGGTGGCCTCCAGCGCTGGGCAGTTCCGAATAGTGTGTCTGTCATGTCTGTGTGGCCGTATGCCCCCAGGTATTGGACAGCACGGAGGGGTGGGCTTGGTGCATCCTGTGCTGGGCCTGTGTGCAGCTTATAAGGAGCCCCGGGCCCTTTCCCCAAGTGGCCCTGCCAGTTCTCACTGCCCGCAGAGGGCGCTCCCGTGCCTCCAGTGCCCTGCCAGTGCCCGGGCATGCCAGTGTTGGGTCTGAGACAGTCTCAGAGGTGTGTGTAGGCGGAGGTGGGGGTGCGGGGACCTCTGCAGAGTCTGTGGGAAAACGGCATTAGAAGACGGGGGTCTTCCGTGGACTTTTTGAAGCCCCTTGTATAATGGATAGCTACCAGTTCCCACAATACATCACTCCCGGCTTGTCTTGTTCATGAATGACACCTACCCACTCTGCCCGTTTGTTTAAAAAGCCCCAGACATATCATTTCCATCCACACTATTCTCGTGTGTAGCTCTCTTCAAAAGTACTGTTATGACACTCTAAACATTGACAATATTTCTTCCTGTCACCAGTCTGCTCAGGTTTTCAGTTGTGTAAACGTCTGTGTGGGCCTGTCTGAACTCTGCTGTAAGCATTTGCAGTTGGGTCTCTGCTCGCCCAAGTAGATTGGGGGGAGTGTTAGCGAGGTACCGTGGCTGTCCCTGTTTAAACTGGCCAGTTTGACTGTTCCGATGTGTGTGTATGTAAACGGGGCTTTAAAAGTTCATGGAAACTCCACTGCCCCGTGACTCCATTTTCCACACACGTTTTGAAGCCCCTCAAACGCATTCAGAGCTGTCACCTCCTTCTCTCCCCCCAGCCCCCTTTTTCCACGGGGGTGTGTTTGGTGAAGAAGGGGCTGCGTCCCTAGGGGAGTTGACACAGGACGTGGTGTGGATAAGTAGCGCACCATGATGGGACACCGTGGGTCCTGGGACTCTGCTTACAGAAGCTGGACTCTGTCCCAGAGCATCTCCCAGAGTCCGTCCTGCTGGTGTCTCTGCTTCCATGGGGAAGCCTGGCGCTGGGCCCAGGGGCTGGCTTCCTCGGCACTGCTGCCCCGAGTTGCCAGGGAGTGTTGTCTCCACGTCTGGGTGGCCCATGAAGCCCTGGGTGTGGAGGGCCCAGTGGGAGGCCTCGAGCTCCCTCCTCCAGAGCCAGATGGCGAGAAGCTCCCCTGGTCTGGGCCTTGCTGGCCCGGGCTGTGCTCTGCGCAGGGAGGTTGGGAAAGGCAGGGTGGAGCCTCCGCCAGATTCTACTCAACGTCCGGTCATGACCGACCTGTTTCCTGGTGCCACCCAGTGGCCAGCGCGCTTCCTCCTTGGTGTCCCCGGGAGCCTGAGCTTGAAGCGTGGCCGTGCTGCGGTCTCCGGTGTGACCCACCCTGTGACATCACTCATGCTGGTGTCACCGAGGGCAGTCATCCAGGATGCCCCCCACTCCACCCCCCATGGACTGCCTCGTGTTCCAGACCACACGGAATCCTTAGTAGTGTTGACCCTCCGTTTTAATCATAGACCAATGTGTGACAAATGCGGCCTAGATCTGTCAATGTAATCTTTCTTAGATTATCAGAATACTAACAAGAAAATTGTTTTGCAAAACCTTCCTGCATTGGATTACAACTTCTTTAGTTACTGAGCAGAAGCCTTTTTTCATTTTTACCATTTTATTACATTTTAATTACCACCTCATTCTCAAAAAAACAATTGACACAGGTTCACACACACAAGGGGGCTTCAAAAAGCTCCATGGATAATTCCGTATATATTTTTAGAAATTTTATACTGTACATTAGGTGGGGGGTTATCTATCAGATCATCGTTTTTTGGGTTTTTTTAATTCAACAACTTAAACACCCATCATACTTCCCAATAACTTGCTTTGTCACAGCGTGTCCCCCTTGTTTTCCCATCTCTTCCTTCCTTCCCCTAGTCAGCCCCTGTCTGCGCCACCCCACCCCCAACCGTCAAAGCCTGTAGTGGTCTCGTACAACACTCGCCCTCGGCATAATCTCCCCGCGTCCATCCGTGCGTGCGTGATGCGTGTCACGGATTCATCATGCTCGTTAGCGGTGCTGTTGGTCATGTCAGGTGCCACCGAGTCAGTCGTGACCCCTGACCCTTTGCACACCAGGATGAAGCGCTGCCCAGGCCTGTGCTGCTCTTCAGTTGCTGGGCTTGAGCCTGTTGAGTGGTATGCCATTACGTGTCTGTGCCACGGCGGGCTTCCCCCCCACTACGTGTCTGTGCCACACGCTTGACTTAGCCATGCCCCCCAGGGTGTGTAGGCTCCTCCGTCTGCTGTTGCGCTCAGTGCTGTGTGGACGCCACATGCGTGTGTCTGCCCGTGTCAAGTCCTGTGTCTCTGCAGGGTGTATGCCAAGGAAGGGGAAGGCTTGCCCGGCAAGATGGCATTTCTTTTTTTTTAAGATAATTTTGTTAGGGGCTCATACAACTCTTATCACAATCCATACATATATCAATTGTGTAAAACACATTTGTACATTCATTGCCCTCATCATTCTCAAAACATTTGCTCTCCACTTAAGCCCCTGACATCAGCTCCTCATTTTCCCCCTCCCTCCCTGCCCCCCCTCCCTCATGAACCCTTGATAATTTATAACTTATTGTCATATCTTGCCCTGTCCGACTCTCCCTTCACCCACTTTTCTGTTTTCTGTCCCCCAGGGAGGAGGTTATATGTAGATCCTTGTTATCTGTTCCCCCTTTCCACCCGACTCTCCCTCCACCCTCCCGGTATCGCCACTCTCACCACTGATCCTGAAGGGATCATCCACCCTGGATTCCCTGTGTTTCCACTTCCTATCTGTACCAGTGTACATCTCTGGTCTAGCCAGATTTGTAAGGTAGACTTGGGATCATGACAGTGGGGGTGGGCTGGGGGGAGGAAGCATTTAGGAACTAGAGGAAAGTGTATGTTTCATCGTTGCTACACTGCACCCTGACTGGCTTGGCTCCTCCCCAAGACCCTTCTGTAAGGGGATGTCCAATTGCTTACAGATGGGCTTTGGGTCTCCACTCCGCACTCCCCCTCATTCACAATGATATGATTTTTTGTTCTGATGATGCCTGATCCCTGATCCCTTCGACACCTTGGGTCTTCCCGGTTGTCTGGGGACGTGCCATACTGTTCTCCATCTGGTTGTATTGTTTTGTTTCTGATTTAAAATTATATATGTATGCATAGAACTTTATATCACTTTATACTTTTCTTTTTTTTTAGAGATCATTTTATTGGGGGCTCTTACAGCTCTTATCATAACCCATCCATCCATTGAGTCAAGCACATTTGTACATTTGTTGCCATCATCGTTTTCAAAACATTTTCTTTCTACTCGAGCCCTTGGTATCAGCTCCTCTTTTCCCCTCCTACCCTTGGTAAATGATCAATTATTGTTTTCATATCTCACATGGTCTGCTGTCTCCCTTGGTCCCAGTGTGAGTGTGTGTGTGTGTGAATCTCTTGATCACGTGCTGCTTCACAGCCCCAGCAGCAGCCGCTGAGGGTGAGCCTCCACATCCTCTCCTGTCTCTCTGCTGCCATGAAGTGGTAGCTCACGTTGTTGAGAGCTGCATCTCTTGGATGGCTAGTGGCCAGGAGCACATCCTCTCGTTTGTGGGTGCTTTTTAAAAAGCACCCATCTGCTCGCCATGGATGGATCCTGGTGTCAGGTCCACTCCCCACGTCTCTGTTCTTGAGCCAACCTGTGCTCTTGTCCACCTCTTCTCTGCCCACCTGTCATTGAGATGGACTTCAAGGACAGTCCACGGAGGGGCTAGAACAGGCTTCTAACCTGAGGTTTCTGATGGCTAAGCATGTCAACCGCTCCCTCCTAGATCCCCAGTGCCTGTTGGAGGGCTCCCCACCCCCACGAGGAGGCTACTCCTGTGCCCTCGATGTAGCTCCGACATGGCGATGCCATAGGAGACCACGCAGCAGGGCCGCGGGACGCGCAGGCTGCTGAAGGATGACCAGTGAAGAAGAATTCTTTGACGCCGTCACAGGTGAGTCAGAAGGGAGACTGCACCGTCAGTGCGAGCTGCCGAGTGACACGCCCGGAAAGCTGAGTCTGCGCCCCGCCATGGGATGGACTCGGGGTCTTTGAAATTCACGTGGCAGTGGGTGCTCCTGTATTTCTTGGGAAGCAGACTTGACTCTTGTGAATGGGACCGTTTGAAGCTTTCTGCCTCACAGCCACGCAGTAGACGGTCAGAGGCAGACTTTGACAGACCTCCGTTTGTTTCTGTCCGTGTGCAGGCTTTGATTCTGATCACTCTGGGGAGTTTTCCGAGGCGAGCCAGAAGCTCCCTGGAGGGCTTTCTTTGGACACCAGCACAAGTCAGAGGGTCAACAAAACCCAGGAAAGGCCTTCCCAAGAGAATGGACTTCACACACACAGGTACATGGTCTTGTGTAAGCCAACAGGGCCCGTGCCTCTCTGAGTGTGCTGCTGCAGGGACCCTCAGCCCCACGGAGCGTCCACAGACAGCCAGGTGCGGTGGACCGTGACCTCGGGACAAGACACAGCGTCCCAGGCCTCTGTTCCTGATGTCCAGAGCTCAGAGGACGATGGGTTTCAATGCCTGGGGCCCTTTAATGGTTCTCCCCCACTGGTCAGATGATCACATCCCCATATCTGTCCCTGGAGCGCTGTCCGAGCTGAGTCAGGGAGATGGGTGGTGCCCAGGGCTCTGCCGGTGCCTCGCCCACATCCTGCTCCTCCAGGAGACCCCGCCAGCCTGTCTTTGGGCTCTGTGAGACGCACTCGCCTTGCCTCCATCAGGACGGGGTGCCTGTGCCTGTACAGCCAGGACCACACCTCCTGACCTTCCCTCTCCCTGCAAGTCAGGCCTGCGGAAGAGGCCTCGTCAGTGGATGAGGACACAGCTCGGAGAAGCTGGCCAAGCAGCAGGCTGGGCTCTGTGGCCTGGAGACTGTAGTCGTGGGACGGGGTGGCTTCTGTGCACACATCTGATTGGTGTTTTAGCTCCAGTGGTCCCTCCAGGACCCCTCACCTCCCATCCTTTTCTTCCTGCAGTAGGGGCCATGGGGGCCCGTCTCTGGAGTACTGCTCAGGCATAGCCCTTTCCTCTTAGGGTGATGGTGATACCACCCTCTCATCTCCCAGAGGACTGGGTCCTTCGGGAGTCGTGGAGCCCTTTCTCAGTGACCTGCCCTGTCCTCTGAGGTCATGGCTGGGGCTCCCTGGCCCCGTGGAGGAATGGTCAGCAGTGCCCCTCTCTTGTGGAGTGCTGGTCACTGCTCCGCTCTCCCCCAGCTGTGCCACCACAGCATCTACTGGAGGCACAGGTGCAAGCAAGGCCGAGGGAGGCAGAGTGGTGGAGCAGCTCTGCCCTGAGCCTGCCCATGGCTCCTGCCCACTGAGCAGCACACACACACACACACACACACACACACACACACACACGCACTTACGTCTCTAGGTGGCTATTTAGCACAGCGCGCCCGTGGAGTTTAGCTGTCAATCACGGGGTCCCTGTTGGTCTGTCCTCTGCAGGACATGCCTGCCCGCCCCCACGTTCACCAGGAGCGACTTCAGCGTGTGGAGCATCCTGAAGAAGTGCATTGGCTTGGTGAGTGGGGTGGACGTCCTGGGCGCAGCTGGAGCATGGCCCCTCCTGTGGGGGACCACCGGGTGTTTGCCCACAGCCTGAGGTCAGCCGAACACAGCAGGAAGGAAGGGCCACATGTGGCCCAGGCACAGTGGAGCCGGGGGCACTGAGGCCTGCGAAGCCAGGTGCCACCACTGCCCACAGGCCCTCGCCCTTCATGTGCTCAGCCCGTCCCAGCCCTCGCCCAGAGAAAACTGCATGCTGTCTTCAGCCAGCTTTTGACTTTGAGGTAATTTTAGACCTCGGGAAAGTTGCAAGAATAGTTCCGAGCACTCCCGGGGCGCTGCACCCTGCCTCCCTGATATTGCCGCTCTCGCAGAGCCAGTTACTGAGACAGGTCATCTGACAGCAGCCCTGGTGACTCAGTGGGTTGCAGTTTGGGCCCACCAGCTGCTCATTGGGGGAAGGAAGGGCCCCTCCCCTGTGCTCGGTGTGCAGGTCGCTGTAGTCAGAGGGGGCTCCGTGGCAGGGATGAGGGGAGAGCTGTCACTCGACAGGTTTTACTGTTTCACCAGCTCGTCCACTGGTGGGGCTTCCCTGTGGCAGGGTCCCACCCAGGGCCCCCAGGACTCCAGTCGCCATGTTGCCCACTCTCCCACCCATGGCTGTGCCCTAGCCTCCTGGTCCCTGAGCTTGTGTGCTTGTGCGGGTGGTTCTCATCTTCTCTCCTCACTGAGCGGATGGGCAAGAAGACACAGGTGGGTGGGGGTGCCTGTCCTGGCGCTCGGTGCCCCCTGACCGGTCTTCTCTTGCCATGAAGAAGCTTCTTGAGGAAGAAACTGGGCCTGTGGGTCGTGCCCTGTTTCTCCACCTGATTTGCTCTTGTTATTGTTTCTGTCCGTGGTGTCCCTGCCAGTTGTCACCGTGTGGCTCTGAGGGTGCATGGAGAGACCTCTCCTCCCTTCGAAGTCTGCTGACTGGACTTCTCCTATCAGGGAGCCATGCCCCTTCCGCCTTAAGAAGGCCTGGCCCCATCCCTCTGTGTGCCCAACCGTCCTGTGGGCCGTGACCGGCACTGTCATTCGTGAGGGCTCGCCAGTATCGTGCTCGCCGTGGGTGCTCCTGCCCCGCTGCGGCCCTGGCCGACCTTCTGACACGGTGCATGCTAGTGTCCTCCTGTGGTCTCCCTGCCTGCCCTGGAGCCGTTTTCTGGGTGCTGGGGGTGCTCGTTGCTGGTGGGCTGTCCCTGGTCCCAGATCCGCCCCAAGTGAGCGCTAGAGAAACCCAGCAGGTGTGCCCTGACCCTGCCTGCCTGTCGGCATGCCCGGGCGCTTGCTTCCCGAACAACAGACCCGGCACGCTCCTCTTTCACTCACATTCCCTCCTGCCCTCACGCCCAGGGGCCCACGGCAGGTCTGTCCAGAGCCTGAAAGGTGGCTCGAGTTTGACTGTTCACAGCTCTCACCATGCAGCTTCTCCACACTGAGTGACAGCGCGGCCCTGTCACGGATCCCCACCACTTATGACCATGTGCCTTCACCCACTGCCAACTTTTCATCTGCGCGTTTCCTGTGTGCCTCTAATGGCGGAGGCGTGGCTTCACACCCATGTACACGCCACGTTACCTGCTTCAAGCGCGCCCTCCTCCAGTGTCTCAAAGCACCCTGTGTGCCCTGATCCCCAGGCGTCCCGCACGCGTCTCCGTGCCAGTCCACTGTGGCCACGGTCTTTGTCAGGAGACCTGCAAGCCCCTCTGTGTCTGCCCCTGTGGACGGCAGAGCCACGAGGCTTAGTGCCCAGACCACTGATTGGCCAGGAGCGACTGGCATGTCGGTGACTCTGGTGCGAGGGCTGGAGTGCAGGGTATGTAGGGCTCCCAGACCACACCTTCGCTACAGGCGCCAGCGGGTCACGTCCTGTGTCTTCCTCGCACACTGGGCTCCACCTGCTGGATGTCCGAGGGTGCTGTGTCCTACACAGCCTGCGCCTTCACTGCCTGGGGAGCTCAGGAAAGGGCCACAGATGGGCTGCCGGCCTGGACTGTTTCCAGGTCTTTCACTCGGTGTCCCCGCAGACGCAGGCTTACCTGCGCTTTGCTGTGTGTGTCTGCGCTCTCCCACACGGGCACCCTGCTTTCAGCAACACTGGAGGCGGAGGAGAGGGAGAGTCACTCTTAATGACTGACTCACTTGCTTTCCCCACACCCAAGACAGGCCTATATCCAACCCCCACCATACTACCAGGCAGGTGTGTCCTGGGGAGAGAGTGCGTGCGTGCGTGCGTGTGTCTCCTCGGAGCTCCGTGTCTGAGGGTCCACTGATGTCACCCACCTCTCGAACAGTCTGTGTGTGCCCTGGAATGAGTGTGCGCATGCCCACTGTCCCTCAGCGCCGTGTCCCCCTCACTGAGGACACACACAGCCACCCTGCTCTGGAACAGTCTCTGTGTGTTCTTGGAGCCCGGATCCTGAGGGGTCCGTCCACCTCTCTGGGGAGTTCTAGAACCTTCCCAGCTGCTGTTCTTGTACGTAAGCTACTCAAGAAGTGACATCGGGTCCCTGGTCTCATTTTACTGTTGGCGTTGAGACGCTGCTTTTTAAAGCTCAAGTTTGTTTGGAATTCTGGGCCCAAAGTCAAATGTACTAAAGAAGGTACATTCTATTCAAGGAGGCTCACTCCCTGCCCCCGCCGTGGGGAGGAGAAAGGTGCCATCGGGGGGCCCGGGCCCGAGTCTGTCGGGAAGGCTCCCCAGGTCCCGCTGGAAAGTTGACCTCCAGGCCCCGTCACATCTCACACTGGAGTTTGCAGCCCGCGGGCCTTGCCCTGGCCTCACCAGTGGCCAGCGAGGGCATCCCATGGGTGACTCGCCATGCTCGGTGCCACTCAGCCGGGGCGGCTCCCTCACTGAGGCACTCAGCGGCCTGTGCCCCTGCCAGTCTCTGCTGGGCACCTGGGCTGTGGCTGCTCTCTCACTGACTCAAACTGTGCCGCCATAGAGCTCAGCTGGTCAGCCCTTGCTGACCAGGGTCTGTGGGTGGGGCTGAAGGAGGGTGGCCCACCTGTCCAGGACCCTTCCTGTCTAAGACCCCTTCCTAACCAGGCCCCCATGCTTCTCCACAGGTGTCCTAGGTGCCTGCTCTGAGGGGCTGTGGGGGTCACAGGTCAGGGGGAGGGCCCATGTCCGTCTAGAGTGGCCTAGGCCCCATGCCCTTGGGCAGTTCCAGCTGCGTCAACCTTCTCCTCTGCCCTCCCTCAGTGCTGCTCCGTGGAGCGGGGCTATGTGGCCATCCGGGGTGCATCTGGTGTCCCAGGCCCCATTCCTACCTCTGCCCCTCCTGCAGGAGCTGTCTAAGATCACCATGCCCATCGCCTTCAATGAGCCACTCAGCTTCCTGCAGCGCATCACGGAGTACATGGAGCACGTCCGCCTGCTCCACACCGCCTCCCGCCAGGCACAGCCACTGGAGCGCATGCAGGTGGGCGGGCGCCTCGGGCCACTAGGCACTGGGGCCGTGTGAGCACGTGTGCACTGGAGCCCTGTGAGTGCGTGTGCACTGGAGCCCCATGAGTGTGTGCACTGGAGCCCCATGAGTGTGTGCGCCAGAGCCCCGTGAGCGTGCGTGTGCACTGGAGCCCCGTGAGCACCTGTGTGCACTGGAGCACTGTGAGTAGGTGTGTGCACTGGAGGCAGACGTTGCCCTCCTACAGGCGCGCAAGAGCTTTGAGGAAGTGGTACTGTGACCAGGTGGACCCCCGGAAGTTCTGCCCCCCAAAGCCTGTCACGGGGCCGAGCATCACCCAGGGCCGTCTCCTGACAGGCTGGCCTGCACCCTCTCGCTTTCTTGCAGACGGTGGCTGCGTTTGCCGTGTCAGCTGTGGCCTCGCAGTGGGATCGGACCGGCAAGCCCTTCAACCCGCTGCTGGGAGAGACGTATGAGCTGGTGAGGTGAGGAGCCCAGCCCCCAGCACTGTCTGCCGGCCAGCGAGCAAAGGGAGGGCTCAGTGGCAGGGGTGGGAGGAGTGTGCCGTGCCCTCCCGGCAGAGCCCGGCCAAACAGAGGCAGCAGCCTGGGCCAGATCCAGGCATGCGGGCCATGGCCGGTATGTGAAAGGGGTGCAGTATTGTGAGGGGCTCACATTTGATCGTGGTGGAAAGAGATGTATGAACACACCTCACCTCGCCCTGCTGTCCCCAAGCCCGTGATGTCTGCACCCGGAAACTCCCCGCCCACCCTGCCTGAGCACGCCATCTCCGACAGCACGTGCTCGCTCTGCCCACGCTCTCGGAATGCTGCTGCACAGTCTAGTGTCCGCATCACTCTGACAAACACGGGGCATGGAAAACCTGGCAACCCTGCCTTCGTGGCTTTGCTGCGTGCAGTGAGCAGAGCTGAGCGGGCATTGTGCCCGAGGGCGGCAAGGTGTACAGTCCCCTGGGCAGACCATCCCACCAGGGGGTTAGTTCTGACTCCAGGGGAAGGTTGTCGGTGCATCCACCAGCGCCTCAGAGGCACGGGGGCGAGGGTGCAAAGCTGGACCCGAGCACGTGCTCGGTGGGAAACAAGCTGACGGGCATCAAGCTGACCACATCTATGAGACGGGACCACGGAGAAGCTCCACATCATCAGTGGAACAGACTACCAGTTGCTCCTATGTAAGCTCAGGTTGGAGTTGAAGGAAAGGAAAACCAGTCCACGAGAGCCAAAGACATCTTGGAGTCCACCCACCTGCACGTTGAGAACATTCAAGCAGATTGAGGCATTGCACACGAGACCGGCCGATGGCGGGACATCCCCACCGTCATGCGTAAAGAAAGCACAAGTCACGAAGAAGCACGGGCCCAAGGGGGCGTCAGAAGAGACTCTGAAACTTGCTCTGTAATGTGGGCAGCTAAGCCACGTGGAGGAAGTGAAGTCAAATAGCGGAGCAGAGGTTTCAGAAGACACAGTGAAGGGTCACCGTGGGATGTGTGAGGCCCAGAATTGGAAAACCAAGAAGAACCCTTTTGGCAGATCTTCAGCTGAGAGAACGAAAGGTAAACTCAAGCCTCGAGCTGTAATCTCGAACTAGTCTATGGACAAAATATCCTCAAAAGAAGATGGGAGGAGTACACAGTCGCTGCACCAGACTGAACTAATCGACCTCCACGATTTCAGGAGGTGCCACCTGATCAAGAACCAAGGGTTGACGGACGGACGGATGGACGCAGGAAGTTCCACTGCGCAGAGAGCATGAACCACAGACCAGGCTCCAGGACAGACGGACTGCCAACCGACAGGTCTCAACAAGGTAACAAAGCACAGGAAGCACTCTTCTGTACCCAGATCTTGGGAGACGACCAGGAGAGATCCACATTGTCCCCCGCAGTCCCCCAATTATAGAACAGTGTCGTTGATAGCAGCGCCGGGGACGTGTGTGGAAGGTGGTTCAACGGTGGCTGCAGCGGTACATTTACAGAGAGCTGCCAGAGGCTCAGGCCAGATCAGAGGGGGACACCAAACAGGGACCTCATTGCTGACGAGAGAAGGGTCTTGGCTGAAAGCAGAGAGTGCCAGAAAGATGCTGACTGTGGGCCACCCAATCTATGGACGAATCCCAATCCATGTCTCATCACTGTCTCATGCGGACCCGTACCTGAACCACCCGGCAGTTGTGAGCATGGAGCCAGGAAATACTGCTGGCTGAGAGTCTGCAGAGGAGTGTGTCAGGCTGTGTCCTCTCACCACCCTCATCAGTCAGAGCTGGGCGCGCTGACGAAGAGCCCGGCGCCAGGCTCGGAGGAAGGCAGGTGACACGGCCCCGCTGGCTGAAAATGGGGACCTGAAGCACTTGCTGGTGAAGATCAAGGATCGCAGCCTTCCGTGTGGGCGACGACTTCACGTGAAGAAAACAAGAGTCCGCACAGCTGGGCCGACAGGCGACGTCCCGATAAATGGAGAGAAGATGGGATTGTCGGGTGCGCCTTGCTCGGTCCACAGTGAGTCTGAAAGCAGCATTCAAGGGGCCCAAAGCGCGCTGCACTGCACATGTGCCGCACCAGCCCCTGCGCTGCACTGCACATGTGCCGCACCAGCCCCTGCTCAACTCTTGAGAAGCGAGGAGCTTGCTTTCAGGACTCAGGTGTGTGACCCAAGCCATGGGATTTTCATTGACCCACATGCAGTGAGAGCTGGACACTGAATAAGGAGGACCGAAGGGGTCGAGGCATTGAATTGGGGTGCTGGGGAAGGAGGTGGGAAGCACCCTGGACTGCTGCAAGGACAGACACATCTATTTATGGACAGAGTGCGCCTTAGAGGCAAGCATGGCCAGACTTCCGCACGTGTGCACTGGCCACGTTGTCAGGAGAGACCAGTCCCTGGAGGAGGGCAGCACTTGGTAAAGTGGAGAGGGAGTGAAACAGAGCAAGGCCTTGGACCCCGTGGCTGCAACCAGGGGCCCGAACACCGAGAGTCCACCCGGCCATGGCACCCAGTCAGCGCCTGGAAGGCCCTAAAGAGACAAGACGCGCTATTGGTGGAGTGAGGGCCACAGCGCCCTCCTCGCCCCCAGGGTGTGCTCGGGAGCAGGTGAGGAGAGTCTCCCGTCATTGCCCACGTCCACAAGTCTGTGTGCTGTGACCTTCCAGCTGACGCTGGGCATACTGGGGATGGTTAAGAGACTAGAGAAAGAGTGCAGTATGGGCACTGCATCTCAGACGGGCTAAAAGAACAGGGACAACCCACGATGCATCCTAAAGCGAGCCACACCACACTGTCCCCGTCCCAGCAGCTTTGTGGGGAGCGTGGGCAGAAGTTTCACAGGTGGACAGGACGATGCCTGAGGCCCAGTGTGCCCCTGTGCGGGAGTCTGGCCCGCGGGGTGCGCCTGAGTGCCGCACAGACAGGCCACCCCTCGCTCAGCAGCACCCCCACCCCTGCTCGTCGTCTTGTCCGCTAAAAATACTCTCTCTTTTCTCAGGCAAGCGTTCACTTTGTAAATTACATACCTTGGCAGGCAACCTTTCAGTTCTCAACTTTCCTTCTTCTGAAATGATTGGGAATTCTGATTCCAGTTAAGTTAGTAATTATGTCGTTTCGCTTTTGTAATTTTTAACGACTACACCTGTAGGTGTGTGCACAGTTCCGGAGCAATTAAAAACTGACATTTTTATTGAAAAAGAGAGTATTTTAAAAAGCCGTGTTTCCTGGCCAGGAATATCTCAGCGGCTAAGATTTTCTTCCTGAAGGAATCCAGCCTTGTCCGAGGGGAAGAGCCGCCGCACCCACCCTCCCCGGGCCTCCTCTCAGGGTGGGGGCGGCACTGTGGTGTCAGTGGCTCCAACGGGTGCTTGTAGACCTGTGCTGGGGTCTTGAGGGGTCCTCGAGAGCAGGGGGCTCGGGGGCTGGTTTGGCTTGGTGGCCAGACCTGCTCTTGCCGGCCGATGGCTTCACTCAGCGGGCTCATTTTCTGGCCCCCGTTTCCCTCGATCTAGGGAAGACCTGGGGTTCCGGTTCATATCAGAGCAGGTCAGCCACCACCCTCCTGTCAGCGCGTTCTACGCGGAAGGGCTGGCTCGGGACTTCATCTTCCACGGCTCTATCTACCCGAAGCTGAAGTTCTGGGGCAAGAGTGTGGAAGCCGAGCCCCGTGGGACCATCACCCTGGAGCTGCTGCAGTAAGTGTGCCCTCTGCTGCCCTGCCTGCCCCACCCAGCCGCTCACCAGCTTCTCTGGGCTGGGGCCTGGCGGCAGCAGGACTACCCCCAAGCTTACTTTGCCGTGTGCTCCTGGGGCGCAGTAGCCACTGGTATAGGCCATTTGCCACTAGAGGACAAGTGGCCTAAGACCCAGGCGCTGGTCACTGCCCAGGGTCCCAGGCTGAGGCACTAGGTAAGGCTAGAGGGTGGTCCAGGCCTCCCTTGAGCAGTTGAGCTGGGCTCGTGCTTCCTCCCGCGCCAATTCTCCCGGAGCCCTCTCTGCCCTCCGGTGGCTTTGCAGTCACCTGGTCATGCACCTGTGAGTCGCCTCGTCTCTCGCCCTCATGGTCACACACCCGAGAGCCATCTCTGCTCTCCCGTGGACTCTCGCCTGCGTGGTCACGCACGGGTCTGGATGTTTCCGTGGCAAGCTTTGCTGCTGTCCCAAGGGAAAGGCAGAATTGATGTCAAACACACACTGAATAAGCAGCTGGCTTCGCGCAGTTCCAAGACTTCTGCTGACGACCCTGCTGCCAGCCTGGGCCCCAGGCCATGTGGGCCTGTGCAGCCCATGGCTCTGACGCGGGCTGTGCCCCCGCCCCCCCAGGCAGAATGAAGCATACACGTGGAGCAACCCCGTGTGCTGTGTGCACAATGTCATCATCGGCAAACTGTGGATTGAGCAGTACGGCACCGTGGAGATCTTGAACCACAGGTCAGGCCCTGCCCCGCCCTCCTACGTGCTACCCTCAAGATGCCACCCCTCTGAGCGCGTGCTGGCTGTCTTCGGTGTCACTCACCTTCTCCACTGCCCCCTTTGTGATGCTGTCAGCCCTCGCCACAGCCCGTCTGGGGACATCCCTGGGCCCCTTGGCCCCTTCCCGCCCAGCCTGTGCCCAGCCGTGCTGAGCTCCCTGTCCGCCTGTCTGCCCCTCAGGACCGGGGACAAGTGTGTGCTGCATTTCAAGTCCTGCGGGCTGTTCGGGAAGGAGTTGCACAAGGTGGAGGGGCACATCCAGGACAAGAAGTAGGTGGCACTGCGCCCGCCGCCCCCAGCTCCCGGGGTGGGCCCATGGCCCCAGGAGGGAGAGGGCAAGGCTGCGTGTGCAGAGCGATCCCCAGGGCAGGGCTCCTGGGAGCCTGGCCTTCCTGAGGCCCGAGTCTGGTCCTGCTGCCCTTCGTACGGTCGGAGGGGACATTGGCGCTGGAGCACGGTGGGAGCTGGGACGCCACCACTACTGTGTCTGCACAGACGTGCCAGGGCCCAGGAGCCTACTCACGATCCCCGGCTCTGGCATGTTTCCTGGGGTGCCCGCATCGGGATACTTCTCTGATCTTTTGGCACTCTGATTAAGCCGTTTGGGGGGGGGACACTTCCCCTTAGAAGTAGGGGTGCCCACCCTGGGGACCCCTGTCATTCACTGGTTCAGACAGCCCTTGAAAGACAGGCCGCAGACCGAGGGCTGGTGAGCCTGGCACAGCCAGCAGCATGCAGTCCTGTTCCCACTGTTTCTTCTCCCACCCCAACACCCCCCCAGGCCTGGCCACCCTTCACAGCATGAGAGCGAGCCTGTGCCGGCAGGGCCAGCCACCACGGGCCTCTGCATGCCCCTCTTCCTGCTGCCCTGACCCTGCTCGGGCAGGCACACCCTTGGCCTGGGGCCGGGCTGGAAGGGTCCCCGGCGGTCCTGCAGTAAGCCAGGCTGCTCGCGGCTGAGGCGGGGCAGCCGCTGGTGTGGGAACAGCTGTCTGTGTGACAGGAGACAGGTCTGGCAGACACACCGCGGAGCGTACACAGCCAGTGTGTTTAAAATAGCGTCTGCCACGCCTCCTCCTTGCCCTGGCGTGAGGAGGAGGAGGAGCGTTCTGACGGTGTGACTGATTCTCAGTGGGGCCCCTGTCCTGGGACCAGTGCCGAGCTGCCCCTCAGGCTGTCAGCAAACAGGCCGGGGCGAGGGCGAGGGTGCAGCACATTGAGATGAGAAGCTTATCATTGCTGTTCACTTGATTTCCAAACATTCCATCCGGCGGCAGCAAGAAGAAGCTCTTCATCATCTACGGCAAGTGGACAGAGTGTCTGTGGGGCATAGACCCTGCTGCCTACGAGTCCTTCACGAAGCAGGAGAAGAGGGGCGAGCACGTCAGAAAACCAAAGCCGGTAAGATACAGGACACCCCCAGGGTGGGCAAGGGGGTCCTGGGCCAGTGCCTGAAAGGAGCCATGCCCTACCTTACAAATCCGACTAGACCAGAGGATGTGCACTGGTACAGATAGGAACTGGAAACACAGGGAATCCAGGGCGGATGATCCCTTCAGGACCAGTGGTGTGAGTGGCGATACTGGGAGGATAGGGTGGAAAGGGGGAACTGATTACTAGGATCTATATATAACCTCCTTCCTGGGGGACAGACAACAAAAAAGTGGGTGAAGGGAGTGGATAAGATATGACAAAATAATAATAATTTATAAATTATCAAGGGTTCATGAGGGAGGAGGGGAGGGGGGAGGGAAGGGGGAAATGAGCTGATGCCAAGGGCCTAAGTGGAGAGCAAATGTTTTGAGAATGATGAGGACAACGAATGTAAGTATGTCCTTTATACAATCGATGTATGTATGGATTGTGGTAGGAGTTGTATGAGCCCCCAAGAAAATGATTTAAAAGGAGAAAGGAGCCATGCCAGCACACCACAGGAGGGCGTAGCACTCGCAGAATCAGTGAGGGAGCCAGGATGCGTCTGTCAGAGTGAGCACCGAGGGAGCCACAGTGGAAGTGCCTGTGTTGAGCCTGGCTCTGATGGTGGAATTTACACACAGGGAATTGTATCTGAAGTGTTAACTGGGTTTGGGGGTCTCTTGGGCCCTTCCCGGCCCCAAGGTATCCGAGGGGACCTGCTGAAAACCGTTCCTTTCTGGAAGCTGGTTTCTTCTTTAAAAGCACCTCTGCTTCCTGCACCTGCCTTGGCCTAGAACTGGTTTTAAAACTGAGTGACTGTCAGTTCTGCTTGTTGGGTCCCAGCAGCAGGTCACATAGGAAGGGGGAATGGGGAGGAAAGGTGAGGGGCTTCTCTCCTGGGGAAAGCGCCCCTGCTGTCTGTGGTGGGAGGGGGGCGGGGCTGGGAGGCTTTGGGTCCCCTGTTGCCCCGGTAACCGGGCAGAGAGCACGCTGCCCGCCGCACTGGGAGCCTTGTTTGCCGCTTTTCACAGCCTCTTCTTCCAGTTCCCACAGTTGAACAAACAGGCCATGCGGCCTGGCTGAGCGGTCAGTCTCTTGAGGCAGGTGTCCGTGCAGAGGACGGTTGGAGCAGGGCGGGGCTTCTTCCTCAAAGAAGGATGAGGACCCGTACCCTGGGTCCACCTGGACGCCCCCCATGACCAACCAGGGTCAGGGCCCTCCAGCCCCCACCCCCACCCTGAGCGCAGCCAGGCCCGTGAGCGGCAGCTCTGTTGCAGGAGAGCAGTGCTGAGAAGATGGACCGCGATGTGGCTGACAGCGTGCCTGAGACGCAGGAGACGGTCCAGGTCATCCCGGGCAGCCGGCTGCTCTGGCGGATCAACTCACGGCCCCCCAACTCGGCCCAGGTCTGTGCCTGCCTCCCCTCTCTGTCTGCACACCAGGCTGGTTCCTGCCCTCTCCCTCTGGGTGGGAGGCAGGTAGAGCAGACCTCCGGTGGGGGCGGGGGCATGTACATGGTGGTGCATTAGGACGGATGCTGTCACAGCCCCAAGGCCCACGCAGAAGCCTGGACAGAGGGACAGTGGACACAAACGTGGGGCTGTGGGCCGGGCTGGGAGCAGCAGGGCAGGGGTGGGTTGGGGGCCCCCGTGGGAAGCAGGTGGGGCCCCAGATGCAGAGTGGACAGTCAGGGTGTGGGGAGGGAGGAGGGCCGGCAGCTGGCAGACGAGCCTGTGCCTGCAGATGTATAACTTCACCAGCTTCACTGTCAGCCTGAACGAGCTGCAGGCCGGCATGGAGGATAGCCTGGCGCCCACAGACTGCCGCCTGCGCCCCGACATCCGCAGCATGGAGAATGGCCTCTTGGGTAGGTGTTCTCAGAGCCCAGTGCCTCTCCAGGCCAGGCCACCCTCCCCCGACAGACTCCTGTGGTCCCCTGCCCCCTGTCTCAGACCATCTTTCACAACAGCCGCCGCCGGGCTTATTCCCCGGCTCCGTGGTCAGTGGGCCCCGCTGTCCCAGCGGTTGCCTGCCAGGCCACCATGGCCTGCACGTCACATCTGACCAGACCTGCTGCCCGGGGCGGGGTCTGTGTCCTCTGGAGCAGCACACTTCCTCCGGGACCCTCGGCCAGCAGACGGGGCTGTGCTCGGTACCGCCCGTCCGTCTCCTTCCCTCCCTCAGCGAGCACTCGTGCTGGGCCCTCTCAGAGCACCTCCCCCACCCCACGGGGGCACACTGGCCTTGGGTTTCTCCACGTCCTCGTAACACAGTGTGAGGCTGGGTTCTCCCAGGCTGCAGAGCAGGAGGCTCTCCTGATGGCCCCCCTTCCAGTGACCGGCGAGCCCCCTCACACCGCCCATCTGCTTGGCCTAGATCTGGCGAGCCAGGAGAAAGAGCGCTTAGAGGAGAAGCAGCGTGAAGCCCGGCGGGCACGCGCCCGGGAGGGGACCGTGTGGCGGACCAGGTGAGGAGGGGCCTCCTGCTCTCGGGGTTGGGGACCGGCCCTGGGACTCCCAGCCCCTTCTCCAGTGGGGCGCGCTCTCCCTAGGAGACTGCTGCCGTGCCCACGTGGGTGCCAGCGAAGACTCCCAGAGAAGCTTGTGCCGTGGGGACGTTGGGGCCCAAGGTGCCCACTGGCTCCACTGGGCTCCCGTGGAGCCCTCATGGGGCCAGTGACCGTGCCACATGGCTGACCTCTGTCCATGCACTTCATGTCGCACACACACCACAGGGCAGGTGGGGGTGGGCGGCCGGCCACAGCACCACTCAGACTAGACGCAGTGGGGACGCCTGACGCTGCAAACAGCCTCTGTCCCTCCGCCCCCGCCCAGCTCCTGCAGGGCTTTGCTCGCCGTCCCCCAGCGAGCACGCGGCAGTGAGGGTCCACTCGGCCCTGATGAAAACGCGGGCGCCGTGTAGGCACGTGGAGAGAGGCGCCCTGACGGACGCGCAGCAGGCACGTGCCTGGTGCTCGCTGGGGCTGTTGTGGAGACCCACGTGTGGCTGTCCTCCCAAAGATGACAGCCGGGGAAGCCCTGTGCCGCCCTTCTGCCCGGCATGCGCTTTCCAGACCCCAGAATGCTCCCTGTGGTGCG